TGCCCATGCGAGGCTGGGGCCACAGCATCCACCAGCGCCCAGTGGGGTCAAGGGCCCAGTCAGGGCTGAAAATCCCCTGTGCTCCAAAATCCCCTGTCCACAGGGTTCACCTGCCCTATGGGACAGATGCTGGTGCCTGGGAGCAGGTCAGAGGGATGCTGCAGGTGCTTGGGAAGTCATCCCTGGACTTCCCCAGCCCGATGCATCCCAGCATTTTGCCGGGGAGTCTTTAACAGGGGCCTTTCCCAGTCCAACGGAACCTTTTTGCTTGAGCTCCTGTTTCATTTTCTTATTGCAGCGAATATTTGCTGCCCTTAAAGGGACACATTTATCCCAGTCGGGCCAGGACCTCCTCTGTGCAAGGGGATGAGAAAGGGGGTAAGAGGAAAGAATGGATCCAGGAAGAGAAAGACGAGCCAGGCAGCTGCGCCGGACCATGACCAGAGTCATCCACATTCCTCCACTTCCTACAGTCTCCCCAGGGAGAGATTAAATGGGATTTGGGATGATGACGTGACTGTGCTTCGCTCCACCAGCCAAGCATGGAAACACAACCTTGTCTGCACCCCCAAGCCCTGGGGAATCACCCAGCCCCACTTGCTCTATCCCACTGTTATCCCACATGCGCCCAACCAGAAAGAGAGGCTGATTTCTGGGAAGTGGCTTTGGAGAGCAACACATGGAAGCACACACATGACCCCACCATTCCCACCTTTCCCTGCTTGGACCAGCACCCCATGCCCTCCCCAGCCAAGTCTCTACAATAGAGGTGCACTGCAGACCAGGGTACCTACAAGGCCATCGGGGTGCCAGCAGCATCCCCATCCTCATGCAGCACAGCCGGGCTGGCGGGGATGCACATCTGCATCTTCCCATTGCTTCCCACCACTCACCAGCTGCCGGCAGCTGGGATGCGCTTGGGATTTGCCGGGGCTGGGGGGGAGAGGGGGCTTTGTGGACAGCTGCAGCCAGGCCAAATCCACTGAGGAAGCCCCAGCCTGGCCCCTGCCTTTCCCAGCTCAGCGTGGCCAAGAACATGAGCTGCTGCTTCGGCGCCGGGGGGAGAGAAGCGGAACCACCTGCACGGCCTCTCCCAGCCCTGCCAAACAGCCCCAGACCCAGCACGGAGCTGCGTACATGCCTGCTGCAACCAGACAGGAACTGGTTTCTATGAGTTTTTTTTTGGGAGGGGATATTTAGGTGTTTGTCCCAGGGCCAGAGTGCAAAGCAATCGGATGTAAACCTTTGTGGTGCAAGGGGAGGACATGGACCATTGTGGGGGGGTGTGGCTGCTGGGGACCCTGCAGGATGCTGAATCTGGCCTGGCCCCATCCAAAAGGAGATCTCTGTACCCTCTGCCCACCCTGGGGCTCCTACCATGGGGCATTCAGCCTGGCAAGGGAACGGGGATGTGGAGCCAAACCTTGGGAGCAGCCTGGTCACCAGCCTGCACACTGCTAAGGGAAAATCCCACTCGGGGCGGGGGGCAAAGCATGGTCTGGGAGCAGATTCCCCCCTTCTTGGGGCTGTGCAGGGAGGGGATGAGCGTTGCTCACCCTCTGTGCTTTGGGACGTGGCCGGGGACCAGGTCCTCCCCCTGCACACGTAACTGCGGGCCCTGGGGGAAGCCGGCCCCGCTGCTGCTCCATAAAGGCAGCCCCTTGGCCCTGACCCCGCTCACAGCAGCCTCCCGCAGCCCAGCATGGCGAAGGCAGCCGCGGGGCTCTGCGCCCTCCTCCTCCTCCTCCTCGCTTGTCTCTGCTGCCAGAGCCCGGCACAGAGTGAGCGCTCTGGGGACGTGGGTTTGCTTTGTGCATGGGGGACGGGGGGGTCCCCCTAAGGAGCTGCAGTGGGGATGGGAGGGATGAGATGGAGAGGGGGGTGTCTGAGCTAAGCTGACCTTGTGCTGTGTCCCCAGGAGCCCCGGCCGTGCCGGACAAGTGCTGCTTCAACTTCCAGATGAGAAGGATCAAGAGGGACAACATTGTCGCTTGCTACCCCACCAGCCCCGAGTGCCCGCACAAGGCAGTGATGTGAGTACCCTAAACCCAGCCCAGGGGGTGAAACGCCTCTAGACCCGGTGCCTTGCTTTGGGGGGTTCAATCCTGAGCCCCTCAGAGACTCAGCGCTGGGGTCCCTGTACCAGCACCCTGCTAACCACGTCTTCTCTCTGCCCCAGCTTCAGGGTGAGGAGTGGGAAGGAGATCTGCACCCAGGCGAGCAGGGCCTGGGTAAAGAAGTACCAGCAGAGCTTCCCGGTCAGCTCCTTCTCCATTCCCAGCTAGCGGGGCGGCCGGAGGCAGCACGAGGAGTCCCCTCCATGGGGAACAGGACACTGCAAAGGTCACCCCTTAGCAGAGGTGGCTGCAGGGACCCCATGTTTGGGTATAGCAGCTCATCGGGGATATCCTTCCCATCACGTTATGACGACCACCACCACCTTCCCAAAGGCAAAGGGCAGCATCGCACTGGGATGAGGTGTGCTGACCCCGTGGGGCGCTGGGGTCCAGCCCTGCTGTCAGCCCCATGCTTTCAGCCTTGCTTTCCATGCAGGCAGCTGCCTGCACCGCTCACAGGCAGCAGTGGCATGTCAAGGCTGTGCTCGCTGGCCTGGCAGCAGCAGGGGGGTTAAGGGGAAGCAGCTCCATGGTTCTCTGTTGTACAACACACAGAAGGGAATTAAATGTCATCTCATGCATGCAAACATCTGGCTGTGCAAGTGTCTTGGGAGCAGGCAGGTCCTGCTGCTGGGTTTCCTACCTGGTATTAAGCCATATATGTAAGCGCTGGAGTCAGTAAGGAGCTGGGAAGAGCTGAAGTGAGGGAAATGGGGGGGGTGCATGGAGCCAAATCACATCCACGTGGGCTCTGGGGAAGCCACCAGTGAGAGGGGCAAGAGGCACAGCCCATGCTCCTTGTCAGGTACCTTAATGAGTACAGACTCCTCTACCAGGATTGCCTGCCTGGTCCCCAGTGAGAGCTCCTGGGATGCCACAAGGAGATGTGATGGGCGCTGACACTGTGATGGGTGCCATGATGATGGGCACAGCCACCACAATGGGCAGACAGCGATGGGTCTCACGGTGAGCTGGGCTAAAGCCCAGCCATTGCCAAGCCATTCACCCAGTGCAGAATTACAGCAGAGGCATTGCAGCCGAGCTGACAAGGGCTGGGTTTGAAACATGAACTCACCCGGGGCTTTGGCAGGCATGAGCATCATCCTGTGTGGTTTAACCAACCCCAAAATAGACTGCTGGCCCCGGCGCATCACCCACTGCTGCTGCTGCTCATCACACTTTGCAGCAGCCCTCAGGTACCGCGGGGATGGAGGCGCTGGGACAAGGAATTTCCATTCACTGCTTGCCCTTTATCAATACCTCGGGGCGGTTCTTTCCCCAGGGAGAGTCCAGAGCTGTCATGGAAAGCCAGGCCGGGGGTAGATCATGTCGAAGCGCAGGCAGCAGAGGCAGGTAGCTCTCGGTGGCCCTGAGTCAGCAAGAGCTGCTAGCTTGTTGGAGCTGACCGAGCCCCGGGTTGAACATGAAGCTCTCCTCCTTGGCCCTGCTCTCCCTGCTGCTGGCAGCTCTCTGGACTGGAAGCCTGTGTGTATCCTGTAAGTAGGGATGTTGAACCGTTCCCCACGGGTGCCCCAGCATCATTCCTGACTCCTCCACTGATGTGGAGCTGGGACTTCAGGGAGGGGGATGAGAGCTTCAGCTCCTGCTTCTGCCATGGGTCTGGGGGGCTGAGGGGCCTCACCAGTGACTCAAGCACAGGGGTGACCTGGTCTTGTTCCAAATGAGCAAAACCAGGCTTGGGGATGGCTTCAGACCCAGCACCCAGGCTGGGGAGATCAGTAATAAGCCCTCCATGGGCAGGGAAACAGGAGGGTCCTACCCTGGAGCAAAGCAGCACTGCCAGGGATGTGAGAGGGGACCCCCTGTAGCAGAAGGGAGCAAGAGAGTCCCAGGGGGACCCCCCCATCCCTTGTGCAAAGGGTGGGAAGCACCAACCCCTTTCGCCTCCTCTCAGTCCGCAGCTCCTATAGCGCTTGCTGCTACAAGGACATGTTCATCCGGAAGAAAATCCCTGCCCTCTTCATCAAGAGCTACCAGGAGACACCTTCCCACTGCTCCCACAGGGCTGTGCGGTGAGTGCCCCAACCCAGCCTTCCTCCCTGGCTCCCCGCTCCTCACCCTCACTCACCCGCCTTCCCTATTGCTTGCGCTGCGTTTGAGGATGCCCCAAGACAAGCAAGCCCCAAAGGGTGCCATGCTGGGAGGACTGCTCTGGCTCTTCCCATGCACTTCCCTTCTCACCGCTCTATCCCAAATACCCCCAAAATTCCCCATTTCAGCTGTCAGCAAGAAAAGCAGGAAGGAAGCCAAGGCTCCAGACTGCTTAAAGTCAGATTTGGGGGGATGTGGGGAAAGGATGCTGCAGGGAACCCCAGGGCATGGCTGGACCCTACATTCCCCCATCTAACACAGCCCCTCTCTCCCCACAGCGTGGAGCTGCGGAATGGGAAGAGGTTCTGCATGGACCAGCACTGGTTCCAGCAGCACCAGCAGCAGCAGCAGTCAACCTGGACCTCCAAGTGAAGCTCTCTTCCCCATAAGCTCTATTTATTTGCATCCCAAGGTTAGCTCTATGTTCTTGTGAAATTATGGAGCTGGCTCTGTTCCCTTCCCTGCTCACACCCACTGCACACTACTGTACATTGCTCAATAGGTTTAATAAAACATCTCATGCACATCTGCTGCTGGAGTGAGACTGGATAAATCCTGTGGGATAAATGGGTCACATCAGCGTTTGTTATCACCACGGGGACCCAGGAATAGTCCAGGAGTCCCTGGAAGGGCAGGGAAACCCAAAGGGCCACGGCTGATCCCCTCCAAGGTGAAGCAGGCCGTGCCCAGGTGAGGTTCACCAAGGCTCAGGGCTGATGCTGCACCTGGGTCGCAACAACACCATGCAGCAGGGAAAAGAGCCTGGTGGAAATGACTTGGGGTGGTGGTCAAAAGGCAGCTAAAGCCGAGCCAAGTCTGTGCCCAGGGGGCCAAGAAGGCCAATGGGATCCTGGTTTGTATCAGCAAGAGTGCAGCAGCAGGGCCAGGGAAGTGATCATCCCCCTGTGCTGCTGGGTCCGGTGCCAGTGGGTCCAGCGCTGGGGCTGGCTGCAATGCGGGCACTGCGAGGGGCAGGGGGATGATGAACACACCAGCCCGTGCCATGCTCCCTCCCTCCCTCCCTGTATCACAGCCCTGCACCTGTCCCCGCATTCCAGATGCCCCTTGCGGAACCGTCGTGCGGCGCCGCGTCGCAAACCCCACACACTGCAAGGGTGCCCCACCAACAGCCCCAGAGCAGGAGGGTCTTTGAGCAAACCAACATCCCCAGGCGCAGCCATCTCCTTGGCTGCAGCCACTTGCACAGCACCCTGCCAGAGGGCATTGTGGATGCAAGCACCGTAGGAAGGCGGTGGGGTCTCTGCCCCATCCTGCTCCCAGCATTACGCTGGGACCCTGTCACAGGGCAGGGGTGATGCTGCTGTCCCCCTGCAGCGTGCGGGTTCTGCCAGCGGGCAGATTGCAGCCCCAAGGTGCTGGGGCAGCTTTGCCGTCAGGGTGGGCTCTGCGCCCATGAGAACTGCCTGGTGAATGCCTGCTCCTGGCACCCGCCGCTCCCCGGCCCCGCACTGCCGGCAGCCCCTGGCACATCCCCTCTTCTCCCCTCTTGCAGTACCACGCCAGCAGGCTGAGCCAGAGAGGGGCCGATGAAGAGGGCTTCTATGGCTTCCTCTGCCCTGACAGCCAGAACGAGCTGAAGCGGGTGGCACAGAAGGTGAGGCCTGAGAGCATCACGGTCCCCGTTCCCTATGTCCAGCACTGCACAGGTCAGCAATCCCCCAGGGATGCTCTGGCAGCTGCCTGCAAGCAACCACCCAGATGGCACTTCATCCAAAAAGTCCTGTTTTCTGGAAATGGGCACTGGGAGAGACAAAGTGGATTTATCAGTGCTCCGGTGTCACTGGAACGCGGTGGGGTTGTGCTGGATGAGGGCAAACAGGAGCCCCCAGCTGCATGGGTCCAGAGAAGGGCAATTGTTGGAAAGATTGGACTGGGTCAGCTTAAAGGGCTTTCCCAAGCTGGTTGATTCCAGGCTCTATGGTTCTATGCGGCACTGACACCATTCAGCTCCTGTTATCCCCAGAGGTGCTGCATCTGCCGATGGGGTCACCGGCAGAGCCCGGCGCTGTCCCAGCACCTTCCACTCCCCCTGCGGCAGCGAGCGGGGCTGCGTCTCCCAGTTGTGGGGAGTTCAAGTGAGTGCCCCCGCCCCCGGGGCACCAGAGCCAGGGCCGGGATGGAGGAGAGCTGGGGCTGAAGCATCACCTCCGTCCGCAGGTCCTTCTGCGGGCAGCACCGGCCGGTGCAGCAGGACCAGACCCTGTGCCTCACCTACCAGGAGGCGGTGGCGGACACCCTGCTCTGTCCCACCTGCCCCAGCTCCTGCTTCCACCGCCGCTGTATTCAGGGAGGCAGCAGCACCCGCGGTCACCCCAGCACCAAGCTGCGGGGGGGTGAACGGGACCCCAGCACCGCTGGTGCTGATGCTGTGTCTGCCCCAGGGCCAGGCGCTGCGCTCTGCCCTGCACCGCTTCCGCTGCCCGCTCTGCTGCCGGGACACGGTCACCTTCAAGAAGAGATGTTCCGCCTGGGCATCAGCATCCCGGAGAGGTCGGTGCCCTCCCGCTGCCTCCTCCCCCTCTGCGATGCTCCGGCAGATCCCCTCCTGCCTCCCCACGTCCCCAGGGATGAGCGCTCCCCTGGTCCCTCAGGGATGCTGCCTGGGAGGAGGGTGGAGCCTTTGCCGACCCTTATCGGCGGCACAGCTCCTGTGACACCAGCCAGTGCCTGTGCCCCGTGGGATGGGAGGGGGCAGAGGAGAACGGGTGAGTGCTGGTGGTTCCCCCCTTTGGCTGGGGATGGAGGTACCAGGCTGGCACCCCCCATCCATCTCAGGGGCCTTTGGTGGCAATGGGTCCCATTGTCCCCCCCCCCAGGCCCTGGCGACTGCTGCTTTGCCACTCCTGTGGCTCCCACAGGACCCACCAGCGCTGCTCCAACCTGGGAGAAGAGGTGCATTCCTGGGAATGCTGTGGCTGCAGCGACACGGGCACTGGTGAGGGCTGCAGTTGTCCCGGTGGCGGGGGACACACACACAAGGTCCCAAGGGCCATGTGGCCATCACCGCTATTTGGGACACGGGGACAGGCTCAGGGCTGTGATCCAGGGATGGAGGGAGGGAGCGTGGCACGGGCTGGCTGTGCTCATCATCCCCCTGCCCCTTGCAGCCAGCCCAGGAGCTGGACCCACTGGCACAGGGACCCTCGTGCAGTGTCCCAGCTCCTGATGCCTGCCCTGGGGACGAAGAGGCCAGGATCCCTGCAGGACACCCCAATACCAACCTGCCCTCCCAGGCCCTGCCCTAGAGATGGGCAGGTTCTCGCTAAGACAACTTGGAGCTTCACAGACGTGGCTTTGCTGGTTGTGCCTGAGCACTGCAGGGCAAGAGCCGCTGCCGTGGCCCCAACCTCCTCCTGGAACCACAGGGGATGCCGGGCTGCTTCCCAAACAGGAGCTGGCACTGGTCACCCAGTTGAGATGCTGGTGGCACCCCATGGGTGGCACCGCAGCTGAACCCAGGCTGGGCAGGGGGGACACTGTGGGGGATGCTGTGGGGCTGAGGCTGCTCTGTTCCAGAGAGAGCAGTGACCCCAGGATGCATGGAGAGCAATGGGGTCACCGTGGCTCTTGTCTCTCGCGTCGGGGCTCCAGCAGGGACTTCAGAGACACACAAAGGGGTTGATAACACAAACACTTTATTCAGGCATTGAAACTCCTGACTCCTCATTAACAAGCAAATTGATCTGGTTTAAATTATTTTCAGTTTAAATTAGGACTTTGATATAATTTATTTTTGGGATTTTTTCCCTTTTTTAGCAAAAAATACTTTGTTTAAATAAGTTAAATAGAATAAGTTTTCCCACTGAGGAAGGCTGCAGTCCAAGTGCTCTCTTGTGTACCCAGGGCTGCGGAAGCACCAGGGACATCACGGGTGGCAGTGGGGAGGGATCAGTTCTTCAGGCTCTGGAAGTGCTGCAGATGTGCCTGCACCCAGGCCGCCCGGGGGTCTGTGCACAGCTCCTTCTTCTTGGTGACCATGCTGCCAGGACAAGTCCCACGTTAGAGTGCTCAGCCGGGGCAGCAGGGTGCCCGCAATAGGTCCCCAGCCACGTCCCCATCCCTCTGCCCCAGCCATCGCCCCCTTAGCCCCCAGTGGTACTCACATCACTCCTGGCTGGCTGCAGCTGCTGCTGGTGATATAGGCAGAGGTGATGAGGCGCCGTGGGATGGGGCGTTGGTGGTAGGTGAAGCAGCACGTGGTGGGGACACCATCTGTAAGGGCAGAGACAGAGAGCCTTGGTGAGAGCCCAGGCACACAGGTTCCCAGGGGACTTGCCATCTCCCATCTCCCCTCCTGTGTCCTGTTCCCTGGGTGCCAGCGTTGGCCTCCTGCTCCCAGCCCTCCCCCTGCTGATGGAGTTGGAGCTCTCAGTCTGCCCCAGCAGCTCCTATGGCACAGTGAGCCCCAGGGAGGATGCAGCGGTGCCGGACTCACCAAGATGGGCCTCGGATGGGGAGCAGGCGGCCACGAGGAGGAGAGTGACCAGAGCGGCTGCAGAGACCTTCATGGTGCTGTGGAGCTGAGGGATCTGCGAGCAGGGCTGGAGCTGGGCTCTGCAGGGCTCTGCACTGTGCTCGGCCCTGTGGCCGTGCCCTCCTTTTATCCCCGGCCGCGAGGCGGGCGCAGGGTTTCAAGGAAGGAAAATGAGTCCATGGTAGCAGGGAAATGCTGTCAGAGCACCCGGATTTGCTGAGCTGGAGATGGAAACCGCAAAGAGGGAAGCTGCAACTTTCAGATTCTATTTGGGTGCCCCAAACTCCACAGCACCAACGCTGCCACTGCCGCAAGGATCCCCCAGCAGCCATGAGCCAGGCTGGGGCACAAAGCTCCATGGCCAGAGCCCCAGTGGCACTCCCAGGCAGGCAGCAAGCACCAGGCAGGGATTTGCTTTGCAGCATTGCTGCACTGGGGGGCTGAGGAGCTAACTCTGTGCATGGACACCCCCAGGCTCTGGTGCTGGCAGAAAACCACTGCCAGGAGAAAGCTCCCAGCTTAGCCCCCATTTTGGCACAAACAGCCCTTCTCACCCTGCTCCCAGCAGGGATACAGAGTTAGCTCCATAGTGATGCATTGCACACACAGTTATTTCCCCTGAAAGCCCTCATTCTTGGTTGGACACATGTGCAAGGGAAGATCATGTAGGACTGAGGTTGTGTTGACCTGGAAGTCATTGGAGGTGGGGGGGGTGTCTCACATTTAGCCCCTTTTTTGCTGGTAATATGGTCAAAAGCTTTATCCTCAGGCTGCAGAGGTTGCAGAGACATGGAGGATCAGATGACCTGTAGGGAATGGGCTCATGCCCCACTCCAGGGCTGGAGCAGTAGGCTCGGGCTGCAGCCTAGCCTGCCACCCTCTGTCCCCAGGGTGAACAGAGGATTTACACCTCCTTAGGCATCTCAGTTTTAGGCTGCAGTCTGCAACCGCCTGACAGTCAAGTTATTGCAGTTACTGCTTGCCCACGTCCTCCCATGCAGGAGAATTTCCTCCAATTTAAGCTCTCTCTAGTGGCTTAGCCCCCCACAAAGCAGATACATGTGTGTCAGGAGACAGGGAGTTAAAAGCAGGAGCTGGAGGAGAGGATTTTGGTGGTGCCCCCTGAGATCAGCTCATTGCAGCCTTGCAGATGAAACCTCCAGGAGATCGCAGCATGACTGAAAAGGGGCAGCATTTGCAATCCCGGAGGATAATTCCCAAGCATCCCACTGGTGTGCATCCAGAAAGAGCTGCTCAACTTGTTCCTTCCTCCTTTTTTCCCCCCTTTTTACTGGCTTTGTCCTGATGCTGCTCTGTGGTGCCACAAAGGGTTTGCTGCCCAGCTCCCAGGCAAACCCCTGCCTCCTGACCTTTGCTCTGGCATGATTAGCTCCTGATGCCCTGACTCAGTGGAAAAGTCTAACTCATGGAGATGCTGAGCAATAGTTGTACCCATCCTCTCATCCTCACTCCATGGCAGCGACAATGCTCGCTGTTCATGTGCAGGGATAAACTTCCTGCTTTCAGGGGGTCTCTGTCTGAAGAATGCATCATGCTGAGCATCTCTTGTATGAGAGGAGGTGTAGGATTAGGTTTTCTCCTAATCATGATTGCTTCTTTTAGGCAAGATGAATCAGAGATGAGAATGGGTGTAAATCATCTCACTGGAGACCTTCAGGAGGAGGTGGGCAGTGGAAGGAACAGAAACAACCCCTCCAGCTCCCTTCTCCGACTGGCCATGTTTCAGCTCTTTCTGCTTAAGCCACCCTGTACCTAGGGCTACAAATGAATAAATCCTTTGGTGACCTGTGTCTTCACCTGAGGCATTTGAGAAGGGCTTGCAGGAGAGGTAGTACCTGCTGTAAATACATCTGCTTGTCAAATGCCGCTGGATACACAAGAGCAGAAGGAAAAGGCTCAGTTTCTCAGAGGACTGAAGATCTGCATGAGTTTTTCTGGTTTAATGCCACTGCATTAAATTAAGGCCCTTTTGTCTCCCACAGAGACCTGCCCCAGACCTCTGCCCTCCAACCACCCCATTCTGGCATCAATCCTGCACTTACCAGAGCCAGCTTTGCTTTGTTTAACAAGGAGAAGTGTGAGGGAGAACATCAGCATGCAACAGGCTGTTATAATGAAGGCAACCAGCAATTGCTGTCTGGGTCCACCGTAGGAACAAGGTGCTGAGCTACCCAAACCCCATGGGATACTACTGGGGAGAGCAGCCCTGAGGCAGGGGTGAGCTGGGCTTGGGCAGGAGAACCAAGTCACAGGGTCACAGGCAGGGATGAGCTATGACAGTAGGCAATGCTTGGTGGGAGCCCCTTTGCCTGCCCAAGCAGAGAGAAAAGGGCTGGGATGGGATATGCAAGAGAGTAGCAACGGGAAACAACAAATGCCAGGATGTAAGGAATATCTCACACCCTGAGATCACTGCAATGACAAGGAGAAGCATGATGACCTGTGGGCATCAGCTTTAGCAGTTACCAGAGGAAAGTCTGTCATCCGGTAGGAACCACAGATGAAACCTCACAATTGCACAGATTATTTCTGCTGGAAATGACAGAAATATTTCCTTTTTGGTGCAGAAGTGGTTGGTCAAGCTTTCAGTTCTCCATTTAGATGAGAGCCGGATGGGACTTCTTCCTAGATGCTGATGAAATACTTTTCATTGTAACTGGAATCCAGGATATTTCAACAAATTCTACGAAATTGCAGTTCAGCAAAAGCAAACAGTTTGCATTTGAGTGTGTTTAAGGAATTAAATATAAGGAACTGATGTAAAGGGAGAGTGAAGAAATGACTTACGGTTTTTATTTCTCCTGCCATGGAAGATCTCTGTAAGGAGATGACTTTCTAATCCAGCAGAGAACCACAAGAGAGGAGGAAACCCAGGAGACCAGAAACCCCAGCTTTGAAAACCAGAAGAAAGTAAAAACCCAGTAGCTAGGAAGGGGAGCAAGCAGTCAAAGATGCAAACTCTTTTGGGCTTGTCTTTGAATGAACAAAACAACAGATTATGGTCAGGTACTCAACACAATAAACTGTACACACAGGTGAGAAAAGGTAAAAGAACAAGTAAGGAAGGAAGGGGTGGATAAGGCAGGGGTAGTCAAACATAAAGACCCCAAAGACTCCCCTAACTTTCTCCCAAGCCAGGCTGTGGCCATCTCTGAATCACTGGTGATTAGCAGGGCAAACTCACGTGGAGCGGGAGAGGTATCAGAAAGCCAGTGATAATCAAACATGGCACTAGACTTGCATTATCAGGTGCTTTTGGCACTGCCTTACATGGGTCTCCTTAAGATGAGGGAATTAAAGTCTAAAAACCACATTACCTCAAGGGCTGCGAGCATGATTAAAAGAGCAGAGTGGTCACAGAGCTGCTGGCAAGGCAGAGGGGGACAAGCTGAGGCATGGTAACACGTGAAGGGCTGCACTGAGAGCGCAGCCGGGAACAGCATGGACAGTGTGTAATCACACACCCAGATTTGCTCAGTCTTGGGGTGGGGAACTTGCCTCTTAGGGCCTCTCATTTCAAGAAGTAAGTGATACAAGAGTGAGAAGAGAGCAGCAAGAAAGTCCTGTGTCCAGACAGGGCAGCCAGCCAATGTTGCAAGATTCATTTGGACCAGAGGAGAAGACAAAGGCCAATCTCTATCATTGGAAGAGGGCAGCATTGCTTCTGGCCCCCAGGCCTAAGGAAAGCGGAAACAACTGCCTCAGTCTGCAGCCTCCCTTAGGAAAGCCTCCCCAGCTCTGCAGAGGGTT